TAAGGTGTACCACAAAGCCTAACGAGGTGTACAAATTACATTTTAACCATGGAAATGATCGTGTTGCCCCTCGATGACCTTGGGTTCGGTTAAGGACACGGATAATGATTAGGAACCCCAGGTCGTTACAGTAGAGATGTCCTACCAGGCATGCCAAAAAATTATAAACATAATTTCGTGTTTGAAAATCCATGAACCAAAATGTAGAACAAATATTCAATTTTATTAATTTAAGAAAGTATTACAATTCTCTATTGTCCATTATTGTGAAGTAAAAAAATTCTCTCTAATTCGGGCAGTGTTTGGGGTAGTTTTCAAACTCAAAAAGTCCTTTAACTAAAAAGGCCGTACATGAATTACTTCATCACAATGGATTTAGAATAGAAAAGTTATTTAGTGAATGCCACTTTTTAAAGTTATGTAATGTTTAAGATTTTCACCATTTTCTATTTTCTGGAATTTTTTAGTTTTTTGAAGGTATTTTTATACTTTCTTGTTTTGCGTACTAGACACCATGGGGTGTGCCGGATGTATTTGAAAGTTAGTTGGGATATTTCCTTGAGTCCAGAACTCATGAAAATATATCAGTTGCTATTTCGGCATTTTTTTTTGTTTTTTGGGTCATGAGGTCCCACGTGGGACTTGTTATCAGTTTATTTGAGTACGAGAATTTTATTTAGGTTCATTACACTACACGCATATTTATTTGATGCTTATGTACATAATTATATGTTTAAATGTGTGGTGGTATTATGTTTGTTGTATATATATATAAGTTTATGTTAATAAAGATTTTTATAAAAGAAAAAAATTGTGGGACCCACATGAGTATTACACTTTATCAAATGACCATGGGTCATTACTAACCCATATCCTGTTCTTCTATTTCCACGAAATTCTCTCCCCTCTCAATTCTTTGTTTTTTTCTTTTCTTTTCTGTACATTTAAGATTAAATTTCTCTCAAACTATTGAGAATCTGATTTTACCACTTAAGGCAAATTTGATAAGCTTGTTGAGGCCTTAATTTTGATCAGAGCTGATTTCAATTTGGAGCATCCTTGGATTTCGAGATTTTGGGGTTCTTGGGCTGATTTGGGGCTTCTTGGGTTCTTGGTGTCCATTTGAGGTAGGGGTACCTCTAATGTTTCAAGTTTTGTCTTTTGATTGAGCAAATTCCATCTCTACTTATTATATTTTCAGAATTTTAAACTTTGATAGAAAATTGTTGTTTTATGTATAAGCTCAAGTATCAAAGCATGACTTATTTTAAATTTTTTTACAAAGACATGTATGAATTGGTATATGGAAATTGTGTTGATGTCTATGTGATAGTTTAATATTAGTGTGTGTATAATTTTATGATGGGCATGCCCGTAGACAATTCTTGTAAATGCCTTTCTGGGAACAATGATGTGATGGATTTCCTCCTTGTATTAAAATTTCAAAGCATGCCACGATCTTGATTAATTGCTATAGAATGCCTTGATTAAGTTCTTTGAAATGTGAATGCTATGTACATGTATTAAGGTTATATAGTTGAGATGGATGTTTAGAGGACGTAACATGGTGCATTGCATGACATGGCAAGAAAGTGGGTTTAAAAAGGTTTTGAAAAGAAAAGTTTTGCAAAAGAAAAGTTTTATTTGAAATGGAAAGATTTTTTTTTATTTATTTAAAATGAACCGAATTTCGCGAGTCTGGGACTAGCTTGACCTAGAGGGTGCGCGGCCCGGTGTAGGGCGTGAAAAAGTTAATACTAGGCCCTTTAACAATTGCCGGATTTGGAACTGAGAATAGTTATCAATCTTGCCTCGATAAAGTCAGTTAGCGTATTTTTTTACAAAAAGTGTGGGTTGGGTCGGTATAGACCAGATTTGGGACGGGTACATTACATTTCATATCATGCACATCAATTGTGGAATTGTGTTAAGTATTGTGATTGTTGCCTATTGAGTTGAAAATGTTGTATGCCCCATTGTATGACCCCAATTCCTTTTATATTCCTTTACATATTGCGTGACTCAAGGGAGTCCAAAACTAATGCCTTAGGCGACTTTTAATGAGCTTTATGCTCACCCTATTATTTTTTTTTAACATTTTTCAGAACGTGGGAAAGAATTGGCAAATGACGTTTCACTATAGGCCTATTTGGATTAGAAGATCATTTTGCTATTTTTGTATCTAAGTCCCACTATTTTTGTAAAACCTTAGTTTTTTGTATTCGGTATAGAGACTTATGAACTCTTTTTATTGTAATTTTGTTTTATGGACTGTAAGTTGATGTAACTGGAGTAAAATTCTAGTATGTGAGTGTAGGACTATGTATAAGACAGGTATTTTCTATGTTTTGGATGAATGGGATGATGACAATAAACTCTTTTGAGGATGGTGTCGATGTTGTAGATTTTGGATTAAGGTTTATTATTTACATCTTGTGTTGGAGTATGTTAGTTTAGTTTTGAAGGCCGAAGTGAGGCCATTGCATTTCATATGCACTAAGAAGGTTGTAGAAGGACTCTTTTTTACAGAGGTCATGCCGAATTTTTGAGTCGTTACAAGTTACATGGCATAGAGAAACAATTTCATTCGTACTGGTTGCCATTGTTGAGTATTAGCTCTTGCAAGATAAATTAAAAGAGACAAATTATAAGTAGTGGTGATGTTTTGAGAAGTAAAAGCTCAATCAAATTTTTGTTCGTATACATAAGAGATAACAAGATTGTGATAGTCTTCTACTTTCAATAGGATTTGGTTAATCTCCTTCAACACTCCTATCTCAAAGAAATATCTTTCGAGTTTAGTAAAAACATGTGAGTTTCTATATAAGTGAAGCACATCCAATAACACTTAAGTTAAAAAAAATTAAGAACGTAGTATATGCATCAGGAGGCAGCAATATTACTAGGATTGACATCGACAACAAATAAATACCCTTGATTTCAATTAAAATATTGAGAATCCTGATTTCATTTTTTTTCTTTTTTAGAACACGTGTATCAACCCTACAACACACACACCATTCAAGTTAGAAGTGCGATTTGAAAGTGAGACCTCAAAGACTTACCTCCTGAATATCTGTCAACGCCACTATGCCCCTGTGGTGAATCCTGATTTCATTTACAACTCCAAGATCGTGATTCATAAATTGGTCACGCCCTTCTCGCATATCATAATCATCCAATTTTGAAATTGTTTATTTAAGTATCTGCCTTCCAGTAAGGGATGAGATTTCAATGTATTGAGAGAGTAATTTCTCATAGATTTCTCTCCTTAGGGGAAGACAAAATTGTAATTAACATCGCATTTGAGGTTAATATGGGCAGCATAAATAAATCAACTAATGCGGTCAATTTTGTTAAGAAGATTTTAATCCCTTAAACTTGATCCTACTCGAAAAGCCAATCTGAAAGCGAGTTTTTTGATCTGGGATGCTCGTTTAAGATCAGAGGCAGAGATGTCCCGGAGACATATGCCCCAAAAATTTTAATTAACCAAAATTTGGAACAAATATTTAATTTATTAATTTAAGAAAATAGTCCAATTTTCTATTGTCCATTACTGTAGAATAAAAAATTTCTCTCTAATTCAATCTATGTAAGCGTTTGGTGCCAGCACTTCAAAAGTTTGATAACTTTGTAAAATATTAGAGATTAAAGAAAGTTTAAATGAATTTCTAATCAAAATTAATGAAAACTTGCATGCTCACTACTCATTATTATTTCAATCTTATAAAAAGAGGAGACAAAGATTTCAACACTTTTTAATTTCTTTTGGTAGGTCCCAATGTGTTGAAATGACCTGTAGATGTCAAACACTAGTGTGTTTTCAAGAAGGAAAAAGAAAAACACTAGTTTGTCTAATTTGAAACACACTTAACAATTGTTCAAAATTGTTGAAAGCATAACGGTGTACTTAATTATCACTCTTTATTTAGAAATAAAATTTGTATTATTTGAATAAGTAAGAGAGAAAAGAAAGAAAATGATAAAATATCTTTATAACTCATTTGTTTCTTACTCTTTGAAATCAAATGAAAATCAATTCGAATATTATTCTGCAAATCCTCCAAATCTTGGATTAAATGGAAATCAATAAGAATTTTTTTTTTTTGCAAATCCTCTACGTCTTGTGTTCTTTCCCTTTAAAATAAGGATCAAATTGTAATTAAAAATTGTTACTTAAAATTAGCGACTTTCTTAGAAATAAGTTTCAAAAGCAAGTTTTTCGAGCTTTGCTTGACCAGACTTTTTGGGACTTTGATGTTTGTTGGAATTCCTTTTATCTTAGTTAACCAAACACTCATAATTTTTTGAAAAGGATTTCATAGGCTTGGAAACCCATATGAAGCCATCAAAAACTCAGCCAAACAGACTCAAAATATAAAAAAAATGAAAGAAAAGTATAGTAATAATTTGCATTCAAATTTGGATCGATAGGAGGGAAAAGAGAAGTTAGTATTCTTGTTTAAATAAGTTGGAGAAAAAATGAATAGGGCTTTATAAGCTTGGAAGCCCGTTTGAAGCCATCAGAAAACTCAGCCAAACAAACTCAAAATATTAAAAAATAAAAGGAAAGAATTGTAATAATTTACATTTAAATTTGGGTCGGTAGGAGAGAAAAGAAATGTTAGTTTTCTTGCTTAAATAAGATGGAAAGAAAAAAATAATAATAATAACAATCGAATTACTATCCTACCTTTTATTTGTAATTTTAAAGACTAATTTTAACATTAGAAAACTATCCCTAAGGACCTTGTTTGGTGTCTGTTCCCATTTGTGGTGTAGTGTTCCCGGGCCGCTACAGTAGCCTATTTTGAGTCTACAACATGTTTGGCTCACATTATTTTATTCTTAACAGTACCAGAACACTTTCAAAACAAATTCACTATTTGGCCCAAAAGTTGGAACAAGATTTTGGTATTCTATATTGTTCTAGCCCAATATTTATTGTAGCTAAACAGGCCCTAATCTCGTTCATCCATCCCATTTTTCACAACCACCTCCCACCCTGACGACGACGAAGACGACTGCTGCTTGCGCTTCCACCGACGCTTCTTCCTTCAGCTCTTCCGCCGGCAGTACTACTACTTGTTTGTTGATCTTTTTCCCCAGCTCCACCGTCATCACCCAATTCGAGTCGGAGAATTCCCCGGCTCGCTTCTACCATACTCCGATGTGGGAGCTCTGTGTGTCCAGCCTTAGCCAGGTGAGAGATGATGATGGATTTTTACCACACTTGTGGAGCTTTGCGCTGAGGATGTTTGAAAGAGCGGTCTTAGATGATGATGGGAAATTTGTTTTAGGACAAATCATTTCAGCCTCCCAAACGCCTCCATTTCTACTGCAAATCCATTTTTAGGGCAAATCATTTCAGCCTCCCAATTGCCCTAGTCTCTCTCTCTCTACAACTGCAAACTACAAAATCTACAAGAGTCAGAACTTGCCCTCCATCTGTATTCCCGTTCTCAACTCTGAACTTGCCCCCTCTCTCTCTCTCTCTACAACTACAAACTACAAGAATTTACAAGAATCGTTGTTCGCAAGCTTCAGCCGCTCTCTCAACTCTCAAGCTTGCCCCTTCTTTCTCTGCAACTGCTAACTTGTATGTATGGGTTTTGTTTTAATTTTTTTTCTAAATCAAATAATCAAGCTCTATAATTTTTGTTTTGCAAACTAATCAAGTTCTGTAATTAATTTATTTTAATCATACAAAAAAAAAAAATTTTATTCCAAAATTTTCGCTCCAAATTTTTATCCCAAATATGTTTTGTTCTCACTTCAGAACACCACACTTTAAAACATTTATTCTATTCTAAATTAGAGTATTACACTACAAAATACAACACTTTCCAAACAACCCTAAATCAGTTTTTTTTTTTTCGCCAAAATGTTTTCTTTCTATTCTTTTTCTTTTCCAATCCCCAAATCCTCCCATCCACGCGAGGAGGCCTTTCACTTCTTACGGAAAATTTGAATCCTCATACTCTTTAAACTGTCCTTTTGCATGACCCACATTTATAAATTTTGTCAAAACTAATCCACGGAAATCCTATTCCATTTAGAGCCCTGAGCGCAAGTCACGCGACCTCCCAGAGCTGTCAAAGCAGATTCTCCATTATTCAGTTGCTTCGAGAACCGTGCAACGGACCTTTTATCGAAGCAATCGCAACCACTCACAAATCTGATCCGACGGACGTAACTGTTCTCAAGTGATAAACCATCTCGCACGTGCAACCCCAAAATTGTTTATCTCCACGCGCTCTTCATCAGAGCCCCTAAATTCTAATCGCTCAATTAACGATTCTGCTTCCGCACTTCGTTCTTAGAGAGAGAAAGTAGAGAGAGAAACATTGAAGAAGTGCGATCTCTTGCTCAAAAACTCTTTCAGACAGAGTTGTATTAGAGAGAGAAGAATTGTTATGACTCGAATAGGAAGCAACGTAGATCTGATTCGAAAGGTTAGGTTTTTTTTTTTTTTTTTCCTCACTGTTTTTTATTTTGCGCACTCTTTCATTGTTTTTGTCTTTGCTTTTCTATTTGAAACTTTCAAAATAATGGGTTTGATGCCTTTGATTCAAATGATTTTCATTTAAGGTTTTGGATGCATTTGGTTCGTTTTAATATTTTGATTGCCGATACTAACAAAAAAAAAAAAAAAAAATTTAAGTTTGAGTAAAAATGGAAGATTTTGCCTAATAAAAGGATAAATTTGGTTGGGGAATGATTTTCTATTATTGTCATTGGCCATCTTTGCCTAGTATGTGTTTGAATTATAATTCAAATCGGCTTTGAAATTGAAATTTTCCAGCACATAAAACTAAAATACCTAGCAGCAGATTGTTTGAGGGATTTATGGCCAAAGGAGGGGGATTGAAACAATGCATTCTTCCATTGCTAGGATAAAAATTGTGTTGAAGGAGTAGGATGTATATGACTGCATAGGTTTTGGAGTTGGACGGAGGAATTAGGTTAAAGGATGCATCTTGATTGATTGCTTCTATATTTTGATTAATGGTGTTCCTGAGGGCTTCTTTGTGAGTGCTAGATGGTTGAGATAGGGCCATCCTCTTCTCATCTTCTTTTCCTTTAGTGATGGAAGTTTTGAGAAGGATCAGTAAGGTTGTGGATGGAAATTTCCCTGTGGGGTTTCGAGATGGGTGTGAGGGGATTTTTTTTCTTCTCTTAGTTTTCAATGTCTTCTTGATGATGGTGCCTTTTTTATTTTTATTTTTATTTTTTTTTGTTTGTGTGTGGGAGCAAGGGGTTTGATTTAGGTACTCAATATATTCTCATGTGCTTTGAGGTGTTGTCAGGTTTGGCCATTAGTTTGACCAAGGCCAGATCATTCCCATGGGGTACGTGGATAATTTGAATGCTTTGCCAATAATTCTAAGTTACAAGGTGGGTTCGCAGGGATAGCAACCTTGGTATTGGATTCTGTAGTGTAGAGTTTTGGAGGAGGTTAGGAGACTAAATAAACTGTCATACTTTACTGAAAGGAATTAACTCTTATTTTGGACAATGGATGCCTTCTAGATTATTTGCTTTATTTTCATTCACTTTTTATTTTATTTTATTTTTTGTTTTAAGTTTAAAAATGGTCTCAGTGTTGGTTCTTGAACTATTCGCGTGTACGGGTTGCTCACAAATGGCGCTTCTATTTATAATATATTTACCAATACAAAAAGGGAATTTTATCATGGAATGCGGATGTGTAATAAAAAATGCAGCTTTGAGCAAATCATACTTGTAACCTTCTTTTTGGGGAAAGTCATTCCCTTATACCACTAAGATATTTGAAGAAACTTGTAGCTGACATCCCATCATGCCAACTTCATTAAGTAAGATCAGCTTTTGGCTTGAGAAAGCTTGACCAAAGAGACATTGCAGAGAAAGAAATCCTTTGTTGCGTTTAGCTATTGATAAATATGTGCCAATTTAGGGCCTAGACAAGGGTTTTTATGTTTATTTATTTATATATATATATATATATATATATATAGACAAGTGATCTCCTTCCATCTTCCATTCTTTTTCCCTCCAATTCAATGGTTCACCCGTGGAAAGTGTCTCTGAAGATTTTTGATTGGCTTCTGAGCTCCAGCATCCTTACCTAACCCACCAACAGAATTGCACTTTAATGTGCCTTATAGCCTGAAAAAGATGCATAACGTATGATATATGGAAGAGTCCTCAGCATCTATTTTCACTGTGGGAAATAATTAGAGTAATAATCCCTGGTTGGTTACTGCTGACTTTGATGATGAAGTGTTCTAGTAATGGCTATGTAGCTGCCTTAGCAATTGAAGTATTCTTAGCATCTCCATCACAAAGTGGAATGAAGAACTCAATATAAAAAGTGCTCTGTCTGCTGTAGAGCTTTGTGAGAACCCCCAAAATGAATGATAAAAAGTGGTCTCTTGGACACTATCAATGATTCATGTAAAGATGAAATGTTTGGAAACTTTTTTTTTTTTAAATTTATTTTATACCACAATCTATCCTTAACATATGTATAAAAAACTCCCATTAACACTGTTGTATACCACTTCGATATCTAGCTAATGCCTAAACGCTCTTACCTTGTCACGGTTCAAGTTGTTTGGTGACTAATAGTAGTGAACCCAAATTTTATTCCTTCAAGGCTTCAACAAAAGCATTCTTGTTTAAGGCCACCAGATTGTGCTTTGTATTTGAGAGCATATTAGAAGATTAAGGTGCTAAAAATTGAGAGTTCAGCTGGGAAGTTTAGTATTTATGCTTGCCTTAAGGACTTGGCTTTATATCTTCTCTCTCTCTCTCTCTCTCTACATATATATATATACACATACATACATACACATGCACAAACACACTGACACATATGAGACTAACATCCAGTACGGTAGGAAATATTTTGAAAGATGGAAGAGCATCATCCTCTCAAGGAAGAGGAACTTAAAATGAAGACAAAAGAGAAAATGACAATTGCAAAATGAAATGGCATCACCATTCACCCCCCTGGCACTGGACATCCACCTTTTTTATGATCAGATTTCAAGACCCAATTCACTTTCGCCCCAGTAAAATGGTACAAATCCCCTATATCATGCGTAACATGTTTGTTTTATCAAGAACCCAAACTGCCTTATCTAACCAACAAATGATACTGAAGTGTAACCCTCAATCAAGTTACTGCAGATTCCCAAGACGGATCAGCACAGTGTCTGTCTTAAAGCTCAATCTCTCATTGCATAATACGTTCTCATATTCTGTCACTTAAATCGTCTAGTTCTCCAAGTAATATTTAGTGTAGTTGTTGGGCTTTTGCCAATTTTCTTTTCACCCAATTTAGTAACCCTTCATCAAAATACTGCAGATTCTTACAGTGTCTTAAAGCTCAATCTCTCACTGCATAATACTTTCTCATATTCTGTCACTTAAATCGTCTAGCTCTCCAAGTAATATTGAGTGTAGTTATAGGGCTAGATCTTTCTTTTTCTGTTTACTTTTTTTTTTTTTTAATTGATAAAAGAATTCTGTTTTTATTGGTCCTTATTTGATTGTTTATAGATCTAGCATTTTTGTCAGAGTTGGATAATATAGTGAAATGACTAAAGGATTTAAAATTCGTGGAAAATGTGATGAATTATGTTGTGACCGACTGGATGATACGTGTTCAAAGTTGCTTGAAAATGTAAGTTTGTTGCATATATGCATCATTCTCCCTTGATGTAGATTGAGCAGTTACTTCTTGTATGAGCATTTGTTAATTGGTATTTTGCTCACTAATGCACTATTTCATTTAGGATAGGCTTTCATGACAATGATTGGAATGATAATTATGAAGATGGTATTATAGTTTTTATCAATCTCTATTTGTCAGGAATATTGAAGTTTGAAATTTGAAATTTGCAAGTTTGTTTACAGGCCCAGAGTTTACTACTTTTATGAGACCAGCGGCATCTTGACGTAAGTTATTTCTGTTAAGCAATATTACATTTTCGGCATATATATTGAAGAATGGAAGATGGAATATCGAGCTTTTGGGGCCCTGTGACATCCACCACTGAGTGGTGTGAGCAGAACTATGCGCACTCTTCTTATATTGCGGAGTTCTTCAACACTCTATCAAATATTCCATGCATTCTTTTGGCACTTATTGGTCTTATAAATGCCTTGAGACAACGGTTTGAGAAAAGATTCAGTGTCCTTCACATATCAAATATGATACTTGCCATTGGGAGCATGCTATACCATGGCACGCTGCAGCGATTGTAATTATTCTTCTCTGATTCTCCTTTAACTGCTTTGCTCAAGTTGACTATTTTAACCACAGAAAATTGTAACTGTGTCTTTGTTGTTTCTTTCTTTGTATTTATTTATTTTCACTGTAAAAGAGCGTGTATTCAAGTGCTGAAAAACAAAGCACACAAAAGTTCAAACCAAACGACAAGTAGATCCAGAACCACTATTTAAACTGTCTGAAAAGTAAATTAAGGAACTCACAGGGCAACCTTTCCCTGGAAGTAAATTAAAGAACACATGGTAACAGAATCGTGTTACTAGAACTTAGATTGAGCTTGTAAGTGGAATTTATGTTAGAACGTAGTTTTGGTCTAGTAGGGGAAATTTTCATTACTCTATTAACATATTCATTTGTTCTTTCCTTAGCCAAAAATGGATATAGGAAAAGTCCAACTCTTGGAGCTCTCTTACTCTCTCTCTCTTTAAGCTAGTTCTTTATCAATCTGGAGACTGATGTCATGATTTTCTAGTTGTATTTTTGGCCAAATTGTGTTTTGAGGAGAACCAGAATGTGCTAGCTATATGCATGAGCATTCTTCTTTATTCATTTGTTTATTTGGGTAGAGAACTTCAGAATTTGTCTTTGATCTGTCCTCTCTTTATATACATCTTTACTGATTCTGTTGAAGTGGCTCCTCAAAGTTAGCAAGAAAGAAAATTTCTACATAGTGGGCTGCATCATAGACAACATTGATGCCTTTTTTATTCTGCCTTTTTTTTTTTTTTGTTGTGGAAAAGAAAGAAAAGGGGGGGGGGGGGGGGGGTGCGGTGAGTTATTTGCTTGTAAGTCTTCCAACAAAATGTGGATGTGTGTGGCTATACAAGAATCCTCTGGCATATGTAACTTGTGTGTTACAGACAGCTGGACTTACACCCAGAGAGGCTGCTGCATTTGATGGTAAAAAGGTGTTAGTTAAGAATCTTAAGATAGCTTTGTAGGTCTTGTTTACGATACGAAATTTTTTTCTTGTAGCTAATCTAGGTTCTATTATTCCAAATAGTAGATGGCATGATTTACTTATCAAAAAAAAAAAAAAAAAACTAGTAGATAGCATGATAGTTAGGGTTTTGCACATTTGAGAGGATAAATTTTGGATGTTGTATGGAAGAAAATGGGGACAGCAGGTGAAATTTAAGTGTGTTGTGTGCTTTTGATGCGTACAGATGGTGAAACTTGTGAAGTTTTACATGCATACTGATGGGAGGGAATTTGAGAGCGAAAATCACATTAACATTAATTATAGTTGCTAAGTCTGTTGTTGTTGTCGTTGTGTTTTTTTTTTTTTTTCGTTTTTGTTGTTTCTCTCTCTTGAGTTCTTTTGTCTTCCCATCCTTTCATGGCATGGTCTTTTAATGATCAATGTTCTATTTAGATAGAGTGTGAAGTAGTGCATTGATGCCTTAAAAAGGGCAAGGCATAACGGTCTTTCTTATTTTTGTTTGTATACAACTCTTTTACATGGATTTGGGCTGCGTGTATCAGGTGTGTATGTGTGTCGAACTGTTGGACCTCCCTGAATTTCAAATCTTAGGTTACATAAACTTAGCTTGATGTGTGTTGGAAGTCCCTGAACACATCCTAAGCATTCAATGCATATTATATTATTATATTTGTCATCAAATGTTCTTTAAAAATATAATAAAGCTTGCTTGTTTCACTTAATATTGATTAAATACTTTTTTGATTGAATAAACTTTTTTTTTTTTTCTCTTTCTATTTCTTATTTATTCTTCCATCTACACTTTTTTTTATTTATTATTTATTATAATTTAAATTAAATGCGATGCAGTGGGAAAAAGGGCATCTATATTAGAAGTAGAAAGTATACTTCGTATACTTTGCTATCAAATTCAAGTTCTTTATCTTCTTCCATCATAAGGATCCAAGCGTATGAATTGGCTGTGCGCGTTGGATGCATATTCAAGACTACTTAGATTGTCTTGTATCGACAGTGGTAGGTTAAGTGGAATAAGAGAATCAATGTAACATTGCTGTACAAACCTTTTCCGTGGAAGGTGGTTTGGCAATCCAAAGCCCCTTTGAAGGTGGCTTTCTTTGCGTGGAGATCTGTCTTAGGAAAGATCTTGACCCAGGATAATTTGAAGAGAAGAAATCACATTGTGGTCAATTTTTGTTGCATGTCTTGGAGATGAGGAGATGGTTGACCACCTCCTTTTGCATTGTCACATGGCCAAGGACGGTTGGGAATTGATGTTAGGTTTGTTTGGAGTTCAGTGGGTTATTCCAGGTCTTCCAGAGGTTTTGTTGAGGCTCGGAGAGGATGCGTAGTTGGGGCCCAAGTCCGGGACGTCTGGAGGATCTTGACCCAGGATTATTTGAAGAGAAGAAATCAGATTGTGGTCAATTGTTGTGCATGTGTCTTAGAGATGAGGAGATGGTTGACCACCTCCTTTTTGCATTGTCACATGGCCAGGGACTGTTGGGAATTGATGTTAGGTTTGTTTAGAGTTCAGTGGATTATGCCCAGTTGTTTGAGAGGTTTTGTTGAGGCTTGGAGAGGATGTATAGTTGGGGCCCATGTCCGGGATGTTTGGAGGACAACACCTTGAGCGTCTGGTGGTGTTTATGGCTTGAAAGGAACAAGAGGTTCTTTGAAGGAAAGGAGACTCTTATTCCTGTGCTGAAGTTCTCCATTATTAGCACTCTTTTTTGTTTGTTGGGTTGTAGGGAGAAATTAGAGATCTTTAGAGGAGATTGTTGATTTTTTGGGCCCTTTGAGAGAGTAGAGGCCCTGTTTGGCCTTGTGTAGTTCTTGTGGGATGCAATCCCCTTTTGATCGCTTTTTTATACTATCGTATAAAAAAAATGGTTTGCCTCACTTGTTACTTTCTTAACTTCTTTATTTACTTTTTTATATTTGTCAAAGCCTCAAATGTTTCACTATTATTAGTTTTTTGCCAAACTTTATTGCATTCCGTTTTGTTTTTAAGACTGTTTTCATTACACCACCAAGTTTCTTTAAATAATGGTTCTGTTCCTTTCCTTTTGATTATGTAGAAGTTCTTTTGCTACTCTTTTAATATATGTAGTCATCTTAGTCCACATTAAGTTTGTTTCATCTTCTACATTCCATGTTACTTCTTTTAGCATCCTATTTTAAAATAGTTCTACTCTCTCCTCTTAAATTCCACCACCTAGTCCTTGGGTTTATGGTTCTCTTTCTCCTTTTATACATAAATCTAAAACAAGAAGCCTATGTTGTGATGTTAGATGCACTCCGGGAATAACTTTACAATCTTTGCTTGTTAATCTATCTACCTTATTATTTAAAAAGTAATTAATTTGACTCATATTTGATCCACTGCTAAAGGTTATTAAGTGTTCATCTCCCTTTATAGAATATGTATTCCTAATTATAAGATTATATGCTACCGTAAAATCTAAGACAGTCTATTCAAATCCATGTCCATCATGTACCATCTCATACCCTCCACACTCGTGTATCCCTTACATCAATTTGTCCATATGCTCCCAAAATTGTGTTTTAATATTGTCATCTAGTCCTACATGGGGTGCATTTGAGCTAACCATATTAATCCATCTACCTATTTAGTTAAAAAGTAATCATTTTGACTTATATTTGATCCACTTTTAAAGGTTATTAAGTGTTCAACTCTCTTTATAGAATATGTATTCCAGTGTTGTTAAAGGCGGGCCTAGGCTCGGGGCACAGATATAGCGCTTGTTGTCATCCCAGGCTCACTGATGTTTACTATTATTTTTTAAATATGATTATTCTATTTCTTAAGCCAAAAAGGTTAATTTTGGTAACTTAATAAACAAATAAGAAAGCCCAAGCGTACGTGAGAAGGAACTTTTGTTCGAAAAAATAAACAAATAAGAAAACACAAGAGTCAAAGTGTCAATTGAACAAAGAGATAGTGAGATTGGGAGACGAACGACGAAGCCCTAGTTGCAGAGAAGAACGGTGAAGCCACACCGGTTCTTTCTTCTTCTTGTCTCTCTTTTCCTATACTTATCTCTTGTCCTCTACTCCTCTCTTCTTATCTTGTTCGTTAACACTTTCTCTCTCTTCTCGTCTACTTTTCTCTCTTCATCTAGTGCTTTTTTTTTTGCCCCGGTTAATAGATTTATTTCTTTTTGTGTTTTATTTTGCCATTCAAAAAAACAAATTATTCTTTGTCTTTCAAGAAAACAAATTTGTGCTTTATTTTATGGTTGTTGGATGCTTCTATAGTTGATGGATTTACTTATTTATATTTGATATTAATTTTTAGAATATTGATATGACTTATGAGATATGAATGTTTGTATGCTAGTGTAAATTTTTAATTGTGCGCCTCACTTCGCTCAGCCTGGTGCCTCGCCTTGCAACTCGCGCCTGGGCTCCAAAGGACCTCTAGCGCCTTGGGCCTTTAATAACACTGATGTCTCCCCGACATCATTTGCTACCGTAAAATCTAAGATAGTCTCCCCGACATCATTTCTATGTTCAAATCCATATCCATCATGCACCATCTCGTACCCTCCACACTTCCGCATCCCTTGCATCAATTCATCCATATGCTCCCAAAATTGTGTTTTAATATTGCCATCTAGTCCTACTTGGGGTGCATTTGAGCTAACTATATTAACTATGGGTCTGTTTAGTTCGTGTTTTGTTTTTGTGTTTTCGTTTTAACCTGAAACAAGTGTTGTTGCAAAATCTTTGGAAGCAAAAACATAAAAACATGTTTGGTAAAAAAATGTTGTACGTTCAAAAAATTTTATGGCTAGTTTAAAGAGGTTGTTTAAGAGTTTATCAAATTTTTATTTTGGGTATTGTATTACTATATTATCCATTGCTACAGTGCATAAACATGTAAAAACATCAAATTGATGTTTCGACTTTTAGCCACTATTCACGAAACGTTTCGGTACTGTACAATTTTTTTTTTTTTTTACCAAATGCGTTTTTTCCATTTTCGCTACAGTACTTGACAAAAA